CTTCGTGGCTCCTTTGATGCCCTCAGTGGCCCCGCTGTCGCCCTTTGTGGCCCCATATACGAATGCCCTTCGTGGCCCCCGCTCGCTCGCGCTCGTCGTGGCCCCCTATGCATGCCCTTCATGGCCCCGCTGTCGCCCTTTGGGCCCCCCTCACTGCCCTTCGTGGCCCCGTTTCTGCCCTCAGCGGCCCCGTCGCTGCCCTCTGTGGCCCTGGATTGAATGCCCTTCGTGGCCCCCGTTCGTTCGCGCCCGTCGTGGTCCCATACGCATGCGTTTCGTCGCCCCGCTGCCGCCATTCGTGGCCCCCTCGCTGCCCTTCGTTGCCACTTTCTGCGCTCAGTGGCCCCGCTGTCGCCCTTGTTTGCCCCCCCCCCTCTCTCTATATATATATATATGTGTATATTTACAATATATATAGATAATCTATATATATAGATATAATTATAATTATATATATCCGTAGTAGCCCTTCGTGGCCCCCGCTCGTTCGCGCCCGTCGTGGTCCCATCTGGATGCCCTTCGTGGCCCCGCTGTCGCCCTTCGTGTTCCCCTCTCTGCCCTTCGTGGCCTCGTTTCTGCCCACAGTGGCTCCCTCGCTGCCCTCTGCGGCCCGCTATGCGCATGCCCTTCGTGGCCCCCGCTCGTTCGCGCCCGTCGTGGCCCCAAATTCATGCCTTTCGCGGCCTCATTGCTGCCCTTCGTCGCTCTGCTTGCCATGTGTGGCCCCCTCGAGACCTTCGTGGCCCCTTTGCTGCCCTCTGTGGCCCCGCTGTCGCCCGCTTTCGCCCCATATATGTATGCCCTTCGTGGCCGCCCCTCGCGTCCTTCGTGGTCCCTTCGCTGCCCTTCGTGGCCGTGTTGTCGCCGTTTGCGGCCCCCTCGTTGCCCTTCGTGGCCCCGTTTCTGCCCTCAGTGGCCGCGTCGCTGCCCTCTGTGGCCCCGTATACGTATGCCCTTCGTGGCCCCCGCTCGTTCGCGCCCTTCGTGGCCCCTCATTTTCCCTCGCTGTCGCCATTCGTGGCCCCTTCAGTGGCCCCGCTCGCTCGCGCCATTCGTGGCGCGACCCATGGCGAAACTTATTGTTAACCTGTGTTGGAGTGGCTGGCGCAAGCTATGGCGCAAACTGAATCGCCACTCAAAGCGCAAATCACCGTCCTCCCTCCTTTTTGCCCCTCCCCCCTTTCCTCCCATCCCTTCGTCCTCACACTCCCCCGTTATCTGTTACTCTTCGTTTTCAAAGGGCTTCATCAACCACACGTTGCAGGGAATGAGTATACCCCCCAAAGGGGGTACGATCGAACAAGAGGGCGGGTATCCAGGGTTTGGGGTATGCATATTGAATGACACGCGATCATATACAGAGCGATCGGTCTTAAAATGATTGTTGTTGGTGTTGTTGTTGTTGTTGCCGTTGTTGTTGTCGTTGTCGTTGTCGTTGTTGATGTTGTTGTTGTTGCTGTCGTTGTTGTTGTTATTGTTATTGTTTTGTTATTGTTATTGTTATTGTTATTGTTATTGTTGTCGTTGTTGTTGTTGTTGAACTCTAACTACTGAAGAATAATTATTGTTGATCCCCCCTCCGGCGGACATTGTATTTTTTCAATTGAAGTGCCCCTTCCGGGGCTCGCACCCTGTTTTTGATCAGGGAAAGTCGTGGGCATCAAACTGCGTTGTTGGCCCCCCGGGCAACAACAACAACGGCTCCCGCCTGATACTTCCTCCAAATTTACTCAGGACCCCCGCCCCCGCCTGGGAAATCCTCGCAGTTTACTCAGGCGGAGGCGCTCCCGCCTGAGACTTCCTCGCAAATTACTCCGGACCCCCGCCCCCGCCCCCGCCCACGCCTTACGAGTCGCTCTCTCTCTCTCTCTCTTTCTCTCTCTCCTTTTAAATCGTCCTCCCCCCTCCGCGTCCCGTCCCTCCTAGCATCTTCCCTCCTCCCTCGTCCCTCCCTGCTCCCTTCCCTCCTCCCTCGTCCCTCCGCCCGCCCTTCCAAAGAGAAATAATCCCCCTAAAGGGGGTACGTTCGAATACAAAGAGGGCGGGTATCGAGGGTGTGCCTCGTGATTCATTCAGGATTCACCCTTTAGTCACCCGCCCGCCAGGTTTCGCCCGCCCGATCCGCCTGTTACAGCCCGCCCGTTCGCTCTCTTGGCATCTCGCCCGCCCGCCTTAAGCCACCGCCCGCCCGACCCGCCAGCGAGGGTCCGCCGCCCGACCCGTCCGTTGGCGTCCGCCCGCCCCGCCAGCCCGACCCGCCCCTCAGAGTCCGCCGCTCGACCCGTCTGTCTGGTTCGTCCGTTTGTTTACCTCCTCTTTTGCCCCTCTCCCCTCCTGCTAACCTCTTTCGTCCTCCATGCGCCGCCTAGGCCGCAGCTACATTTTCATCATTTTCGTGAGGAAGCCTCAGGTAATTCGATGTGATCAAGATCCGGTTGTTTTGTTCCCCCCCGCTTTCCCTTGCAAAAAACACTATAAAATGACATTTCTTGTTCTAATATAATCAAATTTCAAGAATCCCTTGCAAAAAATAAGGTAAAGTGGACATTCGCGCGCGCAAGACGAAATCCTTCCAAAAGCTTAGTGTTCGGAGCGATTTCAACATAAAAACATCAAAAAACTAATGGTTTTTCAACAAAAAAATGTCAAAATCTCATCCCGCGCGCTCTTGCGGATTCGTAGGAAACCCAACACTTTTTAAACATTTCTGTCAAACGGGCTTTTGCGAGCAACTTTTTCGAACTTCTGCGACAACGGTTGCGCACCTGCCAGGGCCATCATCCCTGTCAAATAATACCATGCGGGACACATTCGTTTTTTCTTCGCGCGCGCACGCCGTCGTCGTCGGCCGCGGGGCCCTGAATAGTAGCCACGGTCGTCCGCATGCCACGAAGTGAAGTGTCCGAACGTCATAGGGCGGGAAGCTGGGTGTGGGTGGTGGCGAAGAGTCGTTTGGAAATTTGGTAGAGCTTGAACCGGCCCCCCCACAAAGTGGGGGTATTGCCCGCCTCCTATGAAAACCCTGGCACTGGTGAGAACGGAGTGTCCCCAGTCTTAAATGATTGTTGTTGTTGTTGTTGTTGTTGTTGTTGTTGTTGTTGTTATTGTTTGTGTTGTTGTTTTTGTTGTTGTAGCTGTGGTTATTGTTGTTGTTGTTGCTTGGCGTCGTCTCCCCCGCGACAGGGCCGCGACCCACCCGCGACCCACCTCGCGACCCGCCCGCGACCCACCCGCGACCCACCCGCGACCCACCCCACGACCCACCCGCGACCCACCCTCGACCCACCCCGCGACCCGCCTGCGACCCACCCGCGACCCACCAATTGACCGGGCCCGCTACCAACCCGCGACCCGGCCCGCGACCCGCCCGCGACCCACCCGCGACACGCCCGCGACCCACCCCGCGACCCACCCCGTGACCCACCCGCGACCCGCCCGCGACCCACCCACGACTCTTTAAAAATTGGCGTCTGCGGCGGGCTCGCTGTATTTTTTTGTGTAAAAATCCAGAACCTGCGGCGAGCTTCTCCAGAGGTTCGCATACTGCAGACGTCCCCGCCGCCACCTCACCTTCATCCGCGACTGCGGGGTGCTACGCGCAGGTGTTTCGCATTGCGTGTTGTCCAGACACGCCAGATTTCTCAGGCCAAGGCCGTGCCCACCTGATCTTAGCCAGGCCCAGGCGATGACCGCAGCGGTGGTCGTATCGGATCGTATGGTACGGCTTGCTTCAATCCGAAAGCTTGCTGTGCCTCGAAGCGTTGCTGCCGCTGCAAGCGCGGGCCTCATTCTAGGATCGGCGCTTTGCTCCCATCGTTCAGAGTGGCGCTCTAGCCCCAGCGCGTGCCACTTTCCAGGACCCGAGTGCTTCCTCGTCGTTATGGCCCCGCTGCATGCCCCTCCCTGGCTTCCCCTGGTCATCCTGCTCCTCCCGCTTCTCCCAGTCCAGCTCCTGCTTCCCTTGTTCCTCCTCGTTCTCCTCCTTCCTCCGCCTTCCCCTCCTCCTCGCCCTCCTCGTCCTGCCATTCATCCTCATGCTCATCCGCCACCTCCTCCTATAATGTACGCAGCTCCCCTTCTCCGATTACGCATGGCACGATGAGGTTCTTTGCGGAACTCCAGGTCCGCTATAGTACGCGTCTGTCGATAGAGAAACAATCCGCGCAATGGGAAAGAATGGTCGGGAGGGGTATCATGTCAGATATGGCGCGGGCGCGCTTAGCTTGCCCCCCCCCCTCACTTCCCACCCCCCTCGTGCTTCTCCTTCATCTCTTTCTCCTCGTCCGCCTCTCACTCCTCCCTCCCTCTCCTCCCTCCCCTCTTCCTTTTCGCAACCAGACTATCTGGATAACACTCTCCTCTTAGTCCTGCCCCTGTCCGGAAGATACCAGGCCCTCTCCGCGTGTTCTTGTACACAGGATTTCAATATCGTTTATCTTATGGCTTTGACAAGCCGATTGCCTTTGCCATTTCAAAGCTGTGTTCCCGCTGCAGCGTGAGCCCCATTTTCGGACTGGCGGTTTGCCCCCGTCGGTCAGAATGGCCCTCTCACCCCAGCGCTGGCTATTTTGCTGGATCCGACTCTTTCGTCATTGGTGTCGCCCCCCGCATTTTCCCTCCACCTTCCCCTGGTCCTCTTATTCCTCCCGCTCCTTCCACTCGAGTTCCCGCAGCTGCTGTTCGTCCTCGTCATTTTCCTCCCGCTCATCACCCTGCCCACCCGCCACCTCCTTCTGCTCCTTGGCACGCAGCTCCCCCTTTTTCTCCGATTGCGCATAACACGGTGTGGTCTTTTAACTGGAATCTCAGGTCGGCTATGACACGAGTCCGCGGGTATATAAAAATCAGCGCAATGGGAAGGGATGGGCGGGAGGGATAGGACGTCAGATGAGGCGCGAGCGCACCTGGCTTGCCTTCTTCCCCTCTCCCTCATCCCCCTGCTCTCTCCCCCTCTGCCTCCCTGCCCCCTTCCCCCTCGTTCTTCCTCTCCTTCGACCAAGTTGCCACGGGCGCCCTGCTGGGGCCGCGGTTGGCGCTGCGGGCGCTGTCGGGCCGTGCACGCGGTGGGGGAGGGAGCGGGTTTCTTTCTTTCTCATCTTCGTCTTCTTCCTCAAGGAGGAACGAGGGAGGTGGCTCAGGAGGGATTGGAGGGAAGATGGGGATGAGTGAGGATGAGGAGGAGGCGGATGATGATGATGATGATGCTGATGATGATGCTGCTGCTGCTGCTGATGATGATGATGATGATGATGATGATGATGATGTTGATGCTGATGATGATGATGATGATGATGATGCTGCTGCTGATGATGATGATGATGATGGTGGTGGTGGTGGTGATGCTGCTGCTGCTGATGACGATGATGCTGATGATGATGAGGAGGAGGAGGAGGTTGGTGGTGGTGGTGATGATGATGATGATGATGATGATGAGGAGGATGAGGATGAGGAGGAGGAGGAGGAGATCCCCCTCTCTCCTCACCCTCATTCTCCATATTGTGTTGCAATGCATTCGGCCACTGCCGACGCCCCCCCCCCAGCCTCAGGCATCGAGGGATCTCTCGTCAATGATCCTCCTACTCCGTCTGCTCTTTTTCCTCGGGTCGGGACCATTTCGGTCCGTCCAAGGTCCCCCCTCTCTTCAGTTGGCCCTTTCTGATCTGCTGTGGTCGAAGTGCCCAGACCTGTCGAGGGCGGCCGAAGCCGCGTACATCGAGCAACGGATGAATCAAAACGGCGGGCCCCTGGCCTCGCCGACTTTCGTAGATGGGAGGCGGCGAACCTTCACGACCTGCACGGCAGCACGACCTGATCTCGAACGCCTTTTTGCGTGCGGTCTGGGTCAGCGCGAGACTGCAGCACATGTCGGGCTCGAAAGGGCTCGCTGCTTCTTAGGTCTTTTAGTGGTTGCTCCTCCAGCGCTTCTCGTGCATCCAGGCGCGTTTGGGGCCTAGAAGGAGGTTCGTTCCGTATTCGTCGTGCTTGATGGTAGCACGATGGATGTAGCTGAGCGTGCGCGACCAGCGTTCGCCATGGGGAACGCCGTGCTTTGTTTTTGTTGACTTCACCGTGCGGTGGAAGCCTGGAGGTAGTGGAGAAGCGAAAGTGCTCGGCATGGCCGCCCAGCTCGTTCAGGCAGGGGGCCAGGAGTGCTCATCACAGCCAGTATCTTTGTTACTATTGCAATGTTTACGCGGGCTTCGGCCCAACTAATGTAATCAGGGGTGCTGCATATCATGCGATCTTCGCAGTGACGGCTCAAGGCCCAAAGCCCGCCCCAGGGCGGCCGCAATACATAGCAGTCAAAGCCTTGCGTGAAGTCCGCTCCAGTGGGCAGCCTAAACGCAGTACTCAAAGCGCCAAGCCCGCCCCACGCCATCGAGTACTTCATGCGCTTTCGACCTGCGACGTCGTTGAGGAGCTTCCTTTCTGGTCGTGGCCGGCGCGCCATTTTCCTCCTCCCCCTCATCCGCATTCCTCGCATTTCTTCCTCCCCTATTCTTCTTGCTCGCATTCCTCCTCATCCGCTTCCTCATCCTCCTGCTCCCTCGCCTTCCCTCATCTGCTTCCATCTTGCTGGTCTTTCCCCAGCCCTCCTTTGGTTGGGTCATCGTTTTGAGCAGGGCCCCTGCCGTTCCTCCTCCTGCCTCCTCTCACCACCACTCTCTTCCTCCCCCTCCTCCTTGCTGCCGCCTCACGCCCACCTTCATCGCTGCATTTTCGCTTCCTCTTCGCTGGCTCTTCCTTTCTCGCTTTGCGTCCCTGGGCGCTCGCGACTGCGCAACCATCGCTAGGCTCATGATGCTTTGACTGGTCCAGCTGAGGGGGACCCTACGGTCTAGCGGAGTGAAGCTCGGGGACGCAAACTGTCAGGCCCGTTCCTTGACCGCCGCCGTCTGCGCAACTGCTGGAACCTTTGGGAGCTCTTGGGAGGTCCAGCGGAGTGCGGCCTCTCGCGGACCCAAACTAACAGTATTCTCCCTGGACGCTGCCCTCTGCGCAGCCGTCGCCAGCATCGTGATCCCTTGATTGAGAGATCCAGCGGGGTGCGGCCTTGCGCGGGCCCGAAGTACTTGTGCCTTGCCTGCTGCCAGTCTCTCGATCTCTCAGGAGGTCAGCGAAGCGAGGCCCTACGCGGACCCCAAAGTATTGGTCCCCCCGTTGCGCTGTTGACAGCGAAATTGTCAGAGCTCGCCATAGCTCCTTGAGTGTTCAGAGGAGTGCAGTGTTCAACGGTTTCAGAGGGGGCCTCGCCTCCCCACAGCGTTGCCAACAACGCAGCTGCCGCCACTTCTGGGAGCTCCCGTGAGGTCCAGTGGGGCGTCTTGCGCGGAGCAAGCCGGACCCCTTCCCCTGTACGCTACCAACTGCCTAGCTTGCGCCACTTTCGTGAGCTGCTGGGGTGTCAGCGGAGCGCGGGCCTCCGCAGACCCAAACCAGGAATCCCTCCCCCCGGGTGATGCCAAATGCGCACTTGTCGCCAGTCTCGTGAGTTCTTGGAAGCTTCGGTGGATGGGCGCCTCAGGTCTGCAGTCGACTTTCCTTCGGCACTGGCTTGTGTAGTATTCCTGGGGGCTTGTTATGCGTAGGTTCCTCATGTAGCCCGCATAGGGGCCAACACGCATTTAACATATTCCTTCGTCGTGGGTGAGCCCGTTTGACGTTGTCACTTGTTGCAAAACGGGTTGGCATAGCTCCACGTTCCACAACCTCTCCTTCTAATTTCCCTGTCGCTTGGGAGGCGTTGTGCTTCGGCCGCTGTCGACGCGCAGCCGAAGAAGAGCATTCAACTTCGACGATGACGGGATGGGTGGCTTTGGAGGCCCGCATCCAACATGATGCGACGATGGGAAAAGGAGGCGAGGGAGCAGGAAGATGAGGAGAGGGTGTGGCAAGGCTGGTGAGGGATAGTGGCGAGGATAATGAGGAGTCAAACAATGCTGATGAATCCACGTGAGGTTTACCAACCTACTATTCCTCTTCTTCCTTCCTCTCCTCTCCCTTCCTTTGTTCCTCCCTCCGCCCTCCTGGTCATCCTCCTCACGCATGGCCTGTGTAAATCCCTGCGTGAAGAGGAGCAATAATCCGCCTCTCGTAGGGAGCGTCACAGTTCATGGCGAGGCGACAGGAACATGTTCTGAGAATGCAACCGCACCCTTCTTTTGCGCTCTAGATATTATCTAGCTGCCTGGGGCAAGTTCCGCCACCGTGCCAGTGCAGTGCCGTTTGGCGACGCTTCGAGCATATTCCAGAAGGCCATAACATGGGAAACATCTCGCCTCTAATCCTTGAGTGGCTCCCATGGGGCCTACTTGGGCTGCCGTGGGGTCGTCTCGGGGCTCGCTTGGGGCCCTTTTGGACAGCCTTGGTGCCCGATTGGGGGTTGTTGCCATTAGGCCATTTTGGGGCTCTCTTGGGCTGCCCTGGGCCCCTCTTTGGCCATCCTCGGGCTCTCTTGGGGGTGTACCAGGCCGCCTGAGGATCTTCCGTAGGACCCTCGTTGGGGTGTTTTGGCATTTTTGGGGCTCCTTTCAGACCCTCTCAGAACCCCCTCGAGCTGAGATCCTGGCAGCAACTTTTGTTCGACCGCTCAATGAGCTCCCCAGGGTTGAATGATTTTGAACCTGCTGGGCAGCCTCTTTGCCTTCTCTTTCTCTTTGGTACCTTGGATTCCTTTCGAGGCAGCTTGGGCGCCTAGTGATGTCTTCTAAGGGGCCGTTGGGGGGCATCTTGAAATTTCGGTGTCATCTTGGCGGCCCTGGTGGCCTTCGTGTGCCGTCTTGGAAGCCCTGCGGGGCTGTGGATCACCCCAGGGAGGCGTCGGCTCCCACCCCTTGCTTCTGTCCCTTTCCCCTTTCCTCTCCTTCGCTCCTCCTCCTTCATTTCTCATGTGTTTTTTGTCCCCTCTCTCTCCTGCTCCTACACGCCTTCCTCCCTCCCCCTCCTGCTCATATTAGTCGTCCTGTCCCCTCTACTCCTGCTCCTGTTTTTGTCCTCTCCTTCACCTTCTCTTCACTTTCCTTCTCCTTCATTCGTCTGCCTCCTCCCCTCCCCGTCTCCGTGATTTTCCTTCTTATATTTCTGGGACTGCGCATAGGCCCCATACAAGATTGATCGACGACATCGTTGTGTTCTTGCGCGGACAAAAGGGTGTGATGTTTCAAGGCGCATTCTGCAGGCGACACGTCGAGGACACCTGAGCGCCGCGGCGCTGCCCGCCCAGCCTCCCAGGGGCCGAACTCTGTTCGCAGTGGAGTCCGTCCTTTCGTCCATACTTCAGGACCTCCACCAGGGCTCTAAGGTGGGCGAAATCCTTTCTGCTCCTCGTGTACATCCTGTGTCAAGCGTGGGGCAATGTTTCGTCCCTGAATGGCTGCCAGCGGGTGGTCAGCAATGTCGCCGAGGGGCGCGCAGATCTCATGGGCTCGATGTCTGCGTGTAGCTTGTGCGCATATATGGGCACACGTGCAAGGACGGGCGGGCGAGTTGAGGAGAGGTGATCGTCGTGAGAGTTGCGGGCCATGCGCTTGAGCGCGACGACGGCGGCGCAGAGCATGCCCGTTGTCTTCGAGCCGGCAACCGTGCGGCCGACGAGAGGCCGCTCCTGAAGGGGCCCCAGCAGACCCGGTCGGGCTCTGTGGCGGTGGAGGGAGTGCAGCGCGCGAAAGAGCAGGTCGCTGGCCGAGTTCGGGCTCGAACGTTTCGCGCCGTGGGCTCTCCGTTTCCACCTCCCTCCCGGGCGTGAAGTGAAGCCGTGTGGTGAGTGCGAGGGGGCCCCGCAGCGAGATGCCGATGCGGAGCTGGGGCCGGGTCAACGCGGCCTCGTATGGATGAGCTTGGCTCGTCGGCGTATTCGTTGCCTCAGCTCTTCCTTCTGAGGCTACAGCCTCGCGCGCCTTGCCCAACTCTGCACGGGCACACGCGCTCCGCCGCACGTGCTCGTCTTGTCGTGCACTAGCCTCAGCCCTCGATGCCAGGCGTCGGGCGGAGGTCCCGCCTCCTGTGCAGCACGGGGGAGAGCGAGGGCCTCGGGGCCCGCGCGTCGATTCTCGCTCCGCCCCCGCGTGTCGGCGGCGCGCCCTTGAGGTGCCCCGCAGAGCTTCGAGCCGCCGCCCGCCTCGAATGAGCCGGGTGGCTGCTGGTGGCGACGGCCTCGGCCAGCACGACGCCTCCCCTCGAGGCAGCGAGGCTTCCTGCGGGGGGGGGCGCCTCCCCGCCTGAAGCTCGGCCGCGCGGGTCGTGGATACCTCCTTGCGCCTCCTCCCCCCGCCCCGACCCCAGGGCCATGATTTTTCATGGCGTGGACCCCCAGATCCAGACGTTCCCGTGGACCACTTCTTTTGCCCCGACTCGTTCTTGGACGGTTCCAGGGCCTGGAGGGGGCCGAAGATGGCCCCCCCCCCGCCGTGTTTTTTCACGACGTCAAGGTGTCGGGGCCGCTCCCCCTCCCTGCCTGCTTCTTCCGCCCCCCCTCCTGCCCGGCGGTGACAGGCCTCGACGACGGCCTCGGCGCCGCAACGAGCGCCCGGAGGGAGCCCAAGGCGCGGCCGCCCAGCACGCCGCGCGGTTCGGGGCCTTGGTCGCCGTCGTCTTCGTCGCCACTTCCGCCAGATGATGGTGATGATGATGATGATGATGATGATGATGATGATGATGATGATGATGATGATGATGATGATGATGATGATGATGATGATGATGATGATGATGATGGATGCTGATGCTGATGCTGATGCTGATGCTGATGCTGATGCTGATGCTGATGCTGATACTGATGCTGATGCTGATGCTGATGCTGATGCTGATGTTGATGCTGATGCTGATGCTGATGATGAGGAGTATGAGGGAGGAGGATGAATACCGTGAGACCCAATAATCATCATACAGTTTAACGCGATGTCCAGCGATATTCCATTTTTGAAGAACGACCGCCCCCATTCATGATGATGACGATGCTGATGATGATGGTGATGATGATGCTGATGCAGATGCTGATGCAGATGCTGCTGATGATGCTAGTGATAGTGATGGTGATGCAGATGCTTGAGGGTGAACGTCCCTCGATGAGTTTGCGATGCATGTTCCTTAACCGCAAACCTCAGCAAAACTCGTTCTTACTCATCGCTATCGTTCTCTTCTTCATCACCTCCTCATCTTCATCATTATAATCTTCATGTTCGACGCCCTCATGCTCTCATCGTATCATCTTGGCCCTTCATTTCATCCCGCTCGCCCCTCGCCTTCCCGCTTTTTCATTTGGGGGTGGATCGTGGAAGTGAAGAGACGGTGGTTTCCGGATGTTCACCAAACGTGCGTTTTCAAGTTCAGGCCCAAGTATGCCATGTCCCCGGGCCCGTTTCGTGCAAGCACCATTATGGGCCTACTCTGTCCTAGGGGGGGGCACACCTTTGTCCCATGGGGGGTTTCTACTTTGTCCCAGGGGGGGTCATACTTTGTCCCATAGGGGGGGGGTTGGTTCTACTTCGTCCCAGGGTGGGGCCGACTATGTCCTGGGGGGGGGGCTACCTTGTCCCATGGGGGGCCTACTTGTCCCAGGGGGAGGGAGCCTACTCTGTCCCAGGGGGGGCCTACCTTGTCCCAGGGGGGGGCCTACTCTGTCCCAGGGGGTGGCTACTCTGTCCTGGTGGTGGGGACCTACTCTGTTCCCTTTGGCCCTCGCACTCGCCGTCGCACGCCGCCACACGCCGTCGCCCCAGCGGGGGCTGCTCTCCGGTTCGGTTCGCTCGGCTCGATACGTCTGTGTCCGAGGTTGGGCCGGTCCGGTTCGGCCCGTTCGGGTCGAGGGTTGGTTTCCGGTCCTCGGGCCCGCTCGCGGCCATCATGCATTACCGGGGGGAGGGTTTGGCAGACTCCCTGTACAGAGTGTGGCAATCCCTCTAGTCGACTTGTTTTCCGGAACCTGCGTGGGCTGCGTCCCGTCTTGCTTCGAGCCAAGAGGGTTCCTTAGGGGGTTACCGTCCTATACTACCCTCTTGTGATTTCCCCTTTATCTTCTTCATCCTTCTTCCCCTCCCCGTTCCACCTCCCCCTCCCCGCTTGTTCCCTCCAATGCTCCTGCTATGCTCAGCGCGATTCCTGACAGTGCTAGGTAGCAAGCGCTTGCAAGTTCAGCTCTAAGGCCATCGCGAGCACAGCTGGGCCAGACTGACTTCACAACGCCCTGCCGCCCTGGTTACCGCGCAGCAGCCCAGATTTCGGCCCGACTGCTCGATCGACCAATCCCCCTCCTCCGTGCTCCTCTTCGCTTCGCCTTGCTGCCCCTAGTTCTCCCGCTCGTCTTGGCATCCTTGCCCCATGCCAGTTTCTTCTGTCTGGCTCTCCTGTTCCCCTTGCTGCGCGAGAGGTGCCCGTCTCCATCGTCTGCGGTTTCCTGGGAGCAGGCGGGCGACGTTGCGAGGGGGGATAGGGAGATTTGGAATGAACAGGAGAACGAGGAAGAGGAGGAGGAGGAGGAGGAGGAGGAGGAGGAGGAGGAGAGGAGGACGGGTGGAAGGTGATGATGATGAGGAGGAGGAGCAGGATGAGGAGGACTAGTATGAGGATGAAAGGATGGCGGCGACGTCGACGACGGCGACGACAAGGATGGTGATGGTGATGATGATGATCATGCTGCTGCTGCTGATGATGATAACGATGCTGATGTAGATGCTGATGCTGATGCTGCTGATGATGATGATGCTGCTAATGATGCTGATGATGATGTTGGTGACGCTGATGATGATGACGATGATGCTGATTATACTGATGATGATGGTGCTGATGATGATTATGATGGTGATGATGATGGTGATTATGATGATGACGACGATGACGACGATGATGATGGTCATGGTGATGCTGATGATGATGCTGCTGATGATGCTGATGATGGTGAAAAGGACCACTTTGATTATGCTGCCGACGATGCTGACCATGCTGCTACTGGAGAGTGATTCTTGATTGCTTGGGGTATGACGGGCGTCATGGCCCCTGACCCCCCCCGTCCCCACCCCATGACGTAACGCTCTCCCCCCAGTGCGCTCCAGGCACTGCCGCCGAGCGCATCGGGATCCGCATAGGTGTCCGCATAGGGGTCCGCATAGGAGTCTGGTCCGCAGTCGTCATCGTCGTCGACGTCGTCGTCGTCGTCGCTCGTCGCTCGTCGCTCGTCGCTGGTCGCTCATCGTCGTCGTGCGCGCGGGCGCGGCTGGAGCCTTTTTTTTATTCGGGGCCGATGATGGCCATCATCTTGGGGGGGTGGGGGAGGGGGCCGGTGACGTCACGTTTCGCGCTGGCGGCGTCTGGGAATGCCTAGGAATGACTGGGGGACGGGTACCAGCAGCTGTAGGTGGTGATTGTAGTGGCCTTCGGCCAGTGCCGCCGATCCGGGTCGCTCGGGGTTATTCTCCAGACGCAGAAATTATGGGCGCACACTCAAACGCACACACACAGTCACACCACTTAACCTGCGCCGCAGACATGCGCACACAGCATCACCCACACACACATACTAGTTGGGAAACGCTCCTGTAGTACTAGTAGTAGTATTAGTAGTAGTAGTAGTAGTAGTAGTAGTAGCAGTAGTAGTAGTAGTAGTAGTAGTAGTAGTAGTAGTAGTAGTAGTAGTAGTAGTAGTAGTGGTTGTGGTAGTAGTGGTAGTAGTAGTAGAGGCCTCGTTCCGCGGCTTCTCTCGACTTCCCGCGGTCTCTCTCAAGTTTCGAGCACGCGGTGAGTTTCACGATATATGTGTGTGTATGTACGCGTGCATGCATGTATGCATGCATTGATCATGTGTGCCTGTGTGTAGGTACGTATGTATGTATGTATGCTTGTGCGCGTATGTATGTATTTAGTTTGTATGTATGTTTGTATGTGTGTATGATAATATGTGTGTATGTGTGTGAATGTAAGTATGTATGTCTGGAAGATTGTTTTTCTATGTATGCAAATGTGTTTAAATGTAGGTATGTATGCATGTGTGTATGGATGTGCGTTTGAAGAGCGAGGATGTTTCAAAGAAGAGGCACTCGGTGACGCGATCGTTGAGGGATAGGAGTGAGGTCGCAGAGGAGGAGGAGGAGAATGAGGAAGAGGCGATAACTTGAAGGAAAACGATGAGACGGAGGACATCCTGCCGGTGGCGCCCTGGGCGGTGCCGCGGAAGAAACCGGGGGCCTGCCGGAGGCAGTCTGGAGGCCTCTGGGGAGCTGTTTTGGGGCCTCTTGGAACCTCTTTTGGGCCTCTTGTGGGCTTCTTGGGGCCCCTTGGGGGTCTCTTGGGGCCTCCTGGGGGCCTCTTGGGGCGGAAAGCTCGGTTCTTTCGGTTCGTGGTCCCCCTCTTGGGCCCCTCTTGGGGCTCTCTTGGGGCCTTCTTGGGCTGTCCAGAGGCCCTCTTGGGCCGTCTTGGGGCCCTCTTGGGCCGTCTTGGGGCTCTCTTGGGCCGTGTTGGAAGCATCGTGGGCCGTCTTGGGACGGACTTGGGGGCCTCTTGGGCCGTCTTCGAGCGTCGGACGCCCGAAAAGGCAAGAACGCTAAAAACCCTGAGAAAACCAATGAAAATCAACGATTCTGGCCTCTTGGGGCCCTCTTGGGAGGCCTCTTGGAAGCTTCTTGGGGCGTCTTGGAGACACCTTGGGCCGTCTGGAGGCCATCTCGGGCGTCTTGGAGCGATTTTTCGGCGACTCGGGGCCCTCTTGGAACCCCTTGGGGGTCTCTTGGGCCCCCCCCCTCCTCCAAAGCGCCGGAAAAAGCGGAGCATGGCGCCCCCCCCCCCCCTATCTTCCACTCCCCCGGAGCGGCCCCGGGGTTCGCCGGAAACTCGCACCCCCCCCCCCCCCCCCACCCCCCCTTCCCCGGCAGAGCCACCCCGGCGACCCCCCCAGAGGCTGAAGCTCAGCCTCGAGGCTGTAGCTGAGACTCCTTGAAACTCACACGCCGGATCGGCGGATTTGCACCACAGCGCCTATGTACACCACAGGGCTTGCGTGCGCCACGGCGCCTGCGTACACCACACCGCCCATGTACACCAGTACACCAGAGCAGCCGCGTGCAACACATCGCCAGTGTGTGCCACGCTGCCTGCGGGCACCACAGCGTTTCTGTACACTACACCGCCTGCGTGCACCACGCCAGCCGTGTGCAACACAGCAGCCGTGTACACCACAATGCCTGCGTGCACTACAGCGCCTGTGTGCACCACGGCGCCTGTGTGCACCACAGCAACCGTGTGCAACAGAGTGCCACCTGTTTCATATAGATTTTTGAAGGAATCCTTATGACAGAATGGAGCGCCTGTGGATTCCACATAAACAATTGTTTTATATAGGATTTGGAACGGAATCCTTACGGAAAAAGGAGCGCCGCTGGAATCTACGAGTCCTCCCGAGTCCGCCCGCATCATCCTAACTCTTCCAATTTGCGTCCAGGAGGCTCCATCAAACTTGGCCGTCCGAGACTCACTTGGACTCATTCAATGGACCATTCTGCGGTGCATGCTGAGATGCGCACGTGCGCTGTTCAGCGCTTCCCTGGCGTGGCGTTTAGCCATCCGCAGCAGATCTTGAGTTACATGCTCTTTCCACCTGTCCTGTGCACGCTTGCGTTGTGGTGTACACAAGCGCTGCGTTGCACGCAGACGCTGTGGTGTAGACAGGCGCTGTGGTGTACACGCGCGCTGCGGTGCATGCATGCGTTGTGGTGTACACAGGCGCTGCGTTGCACAGGGTTGCTGCGCTGTACACATTCGCTGTCGTGTACACCGGCGCTCTAGTGGACGCAGGCGCTGTGGTGTACACAGGCGCTGCGTTGCACACGGCTGTTACGGTGTACGCAGGCGCTGTGGTGTACACGCGCGCTGTGGTGCACGCGAGCGTTGTGGTGTACACGGCGCTGTGGGGCTGATCGCCACTTGCGTGTTGCTCGCGTCGTCGTCGTCGTCGTTGTCGCTCGTCACTCGTCGCTTGTCGCTCATCGTCGTCATGCGCTGGCTGTGGTGCCAGAGCCACGCGGCCCGTCACGGCGCGGGGGGGCATTACAGTCGGGGCCCTGAAGAAGGAACCCTTTTCGTTGGGGAGGGGCTCCGTGTTTCTTGATTGTTTCGCAGCTTGCCTCAGATTTTCTTTATGGAAAATAGGGACCTCGTTCCTTATTGAATCGCTTCGCTCATTCCGCCGGCCCGTGATATGGCATCGCTGGTTTTTGTCTGCGTGTTCGTTGCCCATGTTGCGCTCTTGGGGGCGGGTGTCGTTCGGACGCGTTGCGTGGGGAGTTTTGATGGTGAAGCAGTTCCCTGGGGGTCGTCTCTCGATGGGGCGAAATAGAGTCGTCGTCAAGATGCTTCTTTGGGGGGCCTCTTGGGGTCTGTTGAGAGGCCGTTCGGGGGCGCCTGGGAGACATGTTTGAAGCCTTCTGGGGCTTCTTTTGGGCCTCCTGGGAGTCTCCTGGGGCCTCTTGGCGACATCTTGGGGCCTCTTGGAGGCCTCTTGGGGCCTCTTTGGGACCTCCTGGGCGCCTTCTGGGACGGAGGGCTCCATTTTTGAGTTCTCGGTATCCCTCCTGAGTCCCTCTTGGGCCCGTCTTGGGGCCTCTTGGTCCGTCTTGGGCGGCACTTGGGCCGTCTTGAGGGCTCTCTTGGGTCGTTTCGGCGCCGTCTTGGGAGCTTCGTGGGCCGTCTTGGAGCGGTCTTGGGGGCCTCTTGGGCCGTCTTGGAGCGTCCGGAAGCCGAAAAAGCCAGAACACAAAAAACATCGAAAAAACCAATGAAAATCAACGATTTTGGCCTCTTGGGGCTCTCTTCGGAGGCCTCTTGGAAGGCCTTGGGGCGTCTTGGAGGCCTCTTGGGCAGTCTTGGGGGCCTCTTGGGGCACTGAGCGCGCTCTGGGGAGCCTGAGAGGCCGCACCCAGAAGGAAAACCATCTCTGAGTAGACTTGGTCGGGCGTTGGTCGGGGTACTTTTCGCCGGGGGACCCCCAGGGGCCGCCCCGCGCGCGCGAACTAGAAATACTGTTAATACTGTTAACCAGTTACCGGAGATCTTAGCACGCCCTGGCCCGTTGGGCCGGCGAATTTAGGGTTCCTTGGGTCAACGCCTCGACTGTACGTCATACCCCCCCCGCTCCCCCCCATTGACACGCCCGTCATCGCCAAACACAACAAACCCTCTCCTGCTGCTGCTGCTGATAATGATGACAATGGCAATCATACTGATGATGCTGCTGATGATGGTTATGATGATGGTGATGTTGGTGACGGCACTGACGATGTTGCTGATGGTGTATGTGTTGTCGCTTATGATGATGATGGTGATGCTGATACTGCTGTTAATGATGCGATGATGACGATGCTGGTGATGCTGATGGTGATGGTGATGATGATGATTATGATGATGCAAGTGTCTGTGCTGATGATGATGGTGCTGATGATGATTATGATGCTGGTGGTGATGTTGATAAGGATGATGAGTCTGTTGCGACTGATGATGTTGTTGATGTAGGTGATGAAAATGATGGTGACGATGGCGATACCGATGATGATGCTTATGATGATGCTGATGATGTTGATGATACTGATGATGGTGATGAGGAGGAGGAGCATGAGGAGGAGGAGGGGAGGATAAGTGCAAACCCAAGATACGCCAACGATGTTGCCATACATCCTCCCTCCAAGTTCCCCTTGTAATCGGCCCCATACAAGGCATAATTTTCGTCGCGGGGCGTTGCCAATTGAAATGCAAACGTCTGATAATCCTTCATCGTGTCATAACGCCGTTCCAGGGACTTCAGCGACGCGACCCAATTCTACTGTTGCATTCTGTCAATCCTAATTCTTGCCAGAAGCCGTCTTTGGGGATGTCATCGCGAATTAACGTGTCGAATGTGCCCTGGCAATTCCAAAACGTGTCAGAACATTGTCCTTGGAACGTCAACGTGGCAAGTCTCAGAAATTGCTGTAAATTTGTAACACGAATGCGTGCGGCTGTTGGCCGCAGGCAGTCAGTCTCGTGGGTCAGATTTTGTCCACTGCGACGGCGGTCGCCGGGGCGACTCGTGTTTCGCAGCTGCTTGAATCCTCGAGGCAGTCTGGGGGGTCGCTTCCTAAATTGTCTCTATGGCTTGTGTGTGTGTGTTTAGATGATGTCGGCGTCGTGTCTTCCTTCGTCTCTGAGGCCATGGCTCTCGACCAGGACTCAGAATTTTTCATAGCTTCGCACAGCGCCATAACCCAAGATGACAACTTGCATGCTTTCTTACCCTCGATTGTCATATTCGCCTTACCGCGCTCGGCCTTCAGCTGCGCCGAAAGAAAAAGAGAAACATTTTGGAAACCAGCCGCCCTCCATCCTTGAAGCTGTTGCTGACTTGAACAGCGAAGCTGTTGAAACATTCAAGTTTCAGATTCACAAGCGGCGAGGAGTTCTCTGGCGAAACGTCCGGCCCGCCCTACCGACGCGCCTGGGGATTCGGCAGGAAGGAATGATTCATAAAGGGCAAGGGATGGAGGAGCAAGATGGGGAGGGGGAGGGGTACCTCGGGGGAGAAGGAGGAGGAGGAGGAGGACCAGTGTAACCCCAAGACGCAACACCGATGTTGCAATACATCCTCCCTCCAAGTTTCCCCTTCGTCGAGCCCTGCAAGAGCTTGTTCTCATTGTAGGAAGTGTCGCATTGGAAGACAGCCGTCTGAGAATCCTCAATGGTTGACACACCCCGTACTGGGGGTTCGGCGCCGCAAATCAATGTGACTGTTGCGTACAGACACTCCCGAATCGCCCAAGAACGCCATCCCTAGGACTGCAACACCACGAATCAGCGTGTCCGTTGCGCCCTTCTATCCCCGATATTCCCAAACCGTGCCGGAGCACCACATCTGAGACGGCAACCATAAGAATCGATGAAGCGGCTGTAAACTTGTAAGACGCATGTACGCGGCTCGAGGACGAGAGTCACATTTGTAAAACGGCCCGCCTTCCATCCGTGAAGCTTGTGCGAACTTTGAGACGAATGTGCGCGGCGCTCGGGCGAGAGCCACATTAAGACAACGGCCCGCCCTCCATCTGTGAAGTTGTTGCAAGTCCAAGCTTCCAGATCATAAGCGCCCTCACGCGAATCGCTCAGCCCGCCTTACAGACACGTGTGGAGGTGTGAGAGGAGTTTTTGTTCCAAGCAAAGCGTGCACTTGGGGCTTCTCACTTCTGTTCTAGTCTTGGGGCTTTTGCGTCGGTCTGGCGGTTATGTACTCGCCGTCGCCGCCCTGTCGCTGCCTCATTGCGGCCCATCGTCCAGGCCTGTTCGTCGGTCTGGCGGCTATGTAGTCGCCGTTGCTGCCTTGCTGCGGCCTCGCATTGCACCACACGTATTCTCCTTTCTCAAAGAGTAGTAGGATTTTCCCCTCCGGGGCTTCTGAATTCCCCCTGGGGTACTGCAATTTGCATATGATTCAGCCGCACCGTATATCCCAAGTCGTGCTGCCCTTGGTGAACCAGTATCCCCTCCCTCATCCTCTGCAACAGATGCTATACGCGCGCACTCGTTTGTCAAAAACCATCAGTTTCCAGTAATCCATCGGACAAGTGCACAGGACCCGGAATCCAAGTTTCCAATAATCCCAACAAATCATCGGAACGGGGCAAAGTGCGCACGCGCGCGTCGTCGCACGCGTATGCTGGAATCCCTCAATAGGATTTCAAAATCGAGTGTCCCAAATACATATGACAACATATGGTTTCGGAGCAATGGTTTTCAAAAAAGCCTGCACTCGCGCTCTTGCAGATTTTTCAGCAAAGCTTCGGATCTTCAACATCCTCACAGTGCTAGCGAACGTGCCCTTCGAGCGCGCATGTCAACATCACCCGAACGCCCTTGCGCGCGAGCTGTCGCAATAATCCTTCGCAGAACACGGGACGAAGTGCGCACGCGCGCGCCGTCGCGCGCGCGCATGCCGAACTTTTTCAAAACCACGCGTTTCGTAAGGATTTCAAAATCGAGTGCCCCGACAACCATATAAGACACATGTTGTCTGGTAACATCAGGTTTCAAAAAATGCTTGCGTCCGTGCTCATTCGAATGCTTTAGAAAACCATGGATGGTTCAACATTTTCATTAACTTCTGCCAAACGGACCCCTCGCGCTGCCTGTCGAAATCATTCGAACGATGTTGCGCGCGTGCTGGGGGGGCACGATCTGTGTTACATGGTACCATGCGGGCCGGGAGGCCGTCATCGTTGTCAGCGTGATCAGCCTCGGCGCCGTCGCTGGCCTTGCCGTTGTGTTTCGTCATCGTCGCCACCAGCACCGCTACTACCGTTATCGTGTCTACCGTTAACGACGTTGCCATTATACCGCGCCTGCCCAAGTCGTTGGCTCGCACTGATGTGCCCAGCGGTCAGCGCCACCGCGGCCGCGTCGGTCGCGCCAAACTAGCTGGCGGCTTCGTGCGCGAGCATGCAGGCTACCACGGCCGCAGCGAAGCGCCAGCCAGCGCCGAGCGGTCATCGCAATCGTTGCCGCGTGGGGTTTGCAAACCAAGTTGCGTGTGGGTGGGTTGGATGATTGCGCGAGCAGTGGAGTTGGCGAATTTCTAGTTCGGTATGGTGAATTGCACCACGTCGATTGCACCACATAGGTTGCACAACATACGTAGAACGCAGCACGTACATTGCACGACGTACTTTCTTACAGCCCGCTCTGTAGCATCGCTGGCACTTGCCCGTGTGTCCGTTCCGATTGCGGCACTGTTTGGCGGTGGTAGCTAGAATTCTGTGATCTTCGCGCTTCTTGGGAGGCCCCTTCGTGTGGTCATACTGGGGCCCTGTTGGGCCTTGTCTCTTCTTCTTCTATTCAAGAGGCTTGCGCCATTCCGCCCGCCCTCGGATTACGGATGGGCGAATGTATTTCCCGATTCCCGTACCCAGGCAATCCAGCCAGAATTGATGCCTTCCTCGAGACCCTTGCCCCCCCTGCGTTACCCGCAGGGAAGACCACCATGGTCCAGCACATCCTGTCCAACCGTGAGGGTCTCAAAGTCGGCGTGGTTGTCAACGACGTGGCTGAGGCGGTTGGAAGCTCCGCCTGCTCCAGCTCATAATCCTGCTGCTCCTGCTCCTGGTTTATCGAGCTTCTGCTGCTCCTCCTCTTCCCTGCTCTCCCGTTATTCTTCCTCTCCCTCCACCCTCCTCCTTCTCCTCCTCTTGGTTCACCTTCCTCTTCATCCTCCATTCTCCTCTCCTTCTGCCTCCTCCTCCCCCTCCTTCCTCGCATCTTTGTTACCTTGGTACTGCGGGCTGTGGTGCCATCCTGGGCGCAACCCTCCCCTCGCTGGCGGCCCTGGCGTGGCGGGTCAGGGGGTCGCCGTTTACGAGGTGGGTGATGCGGTCGACCTCCAATTTGACCTTGGGGTAGAACGTCCGTCTCGCGGTGCGGCGCTGCCTCTGCTGGCGGCAGGCGGCTCAAGGCTGGCGGCGCCCAGGGCGGCGTGCTCCGCCCGACGCTTGGCCGCCGCCTCGGGGGCCAGGATCGCCTAGGCTTTTCTCGCGTCCCCAGGCTGGGTCCCGAGCTGAAGGCGGGTGCGTGGGCGGCGGCAGCATGTCGAAGGCGCGGGTGTCCCTGGGCTCCTTGGCGCAGTGGCTGGCCTCCTCAAGTATGCCCTCACCAGCGTCTGGAAGGATGGTGCCGCGCACGAGAACAGGGACAACGTCGTCTGCATCTGTGTTGAAAGGGAAGGAGTTGAGCCTGTATTCTGTTTCAGTGTTTCGGCGCTGTGCTGTGTTTCTTTTGCTCGGGCCACTATTTGATGATCTGCGCCTGCTCCGCGAGCTTCGTCTGGCCCAGGTGGCGCGCGCTGGCTTGCCTGCCCTTCCGAGCGTCCCCGACGGCCGTCGCCCAGAGGCTGTGGGTCCCGTTCTCGTTGTGGTTAAAGCTGACGTCCTTCTTGCTGACGAAGGCCTTCTCCGCGCGCTGCGGGAGCGGCCAAGGCTGCTGACTCGAGGTGCGTCGCGGGCTCCGAGTCCGCCATGGCGCGGGAACGGTGCCACCCCTGGGTGCCGCCGCGACCCTCGGGTCGGGAGGCGGGCCCGGGCGTTCGTGCCTTGAAGCACAACGGCCACAGACCCCTAGCATCCGTCTTCTCCTCCTCCTCCTCCTCCTCCTCCTCCTCCTCCCTCTTTCCCTCCCTCCCTTCCTCCACTTTCTCCTGCCTGCTTGATCTTCATCGCCACCCTTGAGCTCTCCATACCCATGCGTCGCCTCAGCCCGCTCCTCGTCCTCCCTCTCCTCCTCCTTCTCTTCCTCATCGTCATTTTTCCCTCGTCACAGTTTTCCTCGATCGGTCTGGAGCGGTTCGGGTGCTCCTCCATTCTTTGCAAGAGGAGATTCGGGGCCCAGACGCAAGAGGGGCGTCGGGCCAGGCCCGCGGGACCGAGTGACACAGAGCCCCCCCGTAGGGCCTGTCTGGCAGACATTGCTCAGGAGCCATAGCCACCGCCCGATGCCGAACAGCCTCCTGAGGACGCGTCGGCGGCCAGGCGCAAAGGGCGACCCCTCAGGTTACATAGACGCCTGAGGCCTCCTCGAATCGTGATCTGACTGACTTCGAAGACGAAGCAGCTGCATTTGCGTAAACATTCGGAGGTCAATTAGCATTGCTTGTATCCGCGCTTGACCCTCCTGACGGCTCCTCTGGCGCCGCCCCTGGCGCCTTCCGCGCGCCAGAGTGGGGGATTCCAGCGTCGATCTAAGAACTCAGCGCGGGCCCCCTGAGGGTTGTGCCTATGAAGTTGTTGCTTTTCTGTAACGGTTCAGCCGCCCCCCGTGCTTTCGTTCTTGTCCATCTTTAGGGCTTCGGGGGACGGCAACCACAGCTCCTGGCTCTTGCAGCCGAGGCTTCCAGCATCGCGGGCGGTTCGATGCGTGAATGTGAGGGGCTGTTTGCCGACGAAGATGCGGTTCAGTGCTCTCGCCCATCGTCGTGCGTGGCCAACAGGTGTCGAGTTACTCGCACTGCGCCCTCGCATTACCTCGCATCGCCCAATAGACATTGCTGCCACAACTTGTACAGAAGATCATCGTATCCACTTGTTCCGTGCCGTCGAGGACCTCGGCTTGTTTGATCGCAGTCCTTTCCACACCCACGGGGAAAGGATATATTCATCGGGTGCCTCGTGCTGCTTCGTTTCTGACAGCACAGCTTTCCCCCTCGTGTTTCTCCTAAGCCTCCTGCCCCTCATCTTCCTCCTCCGCTTCCTGCCTACCAGAGGCGAACATCGATTCCGAGGTGCTAACCTTCTCCGACGCGGACGGCATGGTGGTGAGCCAGGGGTTCAAGTGGAAGGGGGGGGGACGAGGGAGAGATAGAGGGGGAGGGCCTCCACGGAGACGCCTCCTCAATATCCTACTTCTCTTCCCTGCCTCCCTTATCCGTTTTTCTTTCTCCTGCTCCTCCCTCAACCCCTCTTCCCCTCCGTAGCCATTTTGGCCCAAGCCGCCGTCCCGGTTCGAGGTTTTCTGCGAACCTCGTCGGGACAGCTGCCAGACGCACCAGCCTCGCCGATCTCGGCGCGTCGGGCCAGCCGTGCCCCGCCATGGCTGCCTGCGGATGTACTGCCCCATGCTGTGCCGCCCATCCAGTGTGGCCTCCGCTGCTGGCAGACGCCGCCTCATGGCGCGCAGGGTAGCCGTCCGACATGCGCAAGTGCATGCGCTGACCGTGCGCATCCTGATGAGGTGTGGCACCCCGCCCGGGCTCGACATGTCACCTGCGGACATCCTGCTGCGGGAGCCCTTGGAGCACGTGGAGGCGCCGGATGCTAAGCGGTGGAAGACGGGCGCCGCGCCATCGGAAGATGCCGCGCGGGTTCCTCGACGTGCTGTTGATGCGTCCTTGCCAGGAGGTCCTGGTCTACTTCCTCGTCCTGGTCCCGAGCCTGTTCGTGGACCCGCCGTGCCGGACCGCGATGGTCCTCATCGACCTCCGGCTGGTGCTGCTGTTCGTTGTTACGCGTAGCCACCGGGCGCCGCGCCGTCGGCTGCCCCTCCTGCCGGCCCCAGTGCTGGAGCCGACTCGAGGCCGATGGCGCTGGTGTCGCCGCCGGCCCATCGCGCTCCTGGAACGGATGCCGTGGGCCCTGCGTCACCATGCCGGCGCCTTCCTGGTCACCACTTTCGGAGCTGCCGGGCTGCCGCTGCTGGAGATGCAGCTGCTGCCGTTCCGGAATCGTGCTGACGATGCTGCAGGTCGTCGGCGCTCGGAGGCTGCTCTGGATCGTGCTGCTGCTCGTTCTGCGCAGGCGCCGGCACCAGCTCTACCGCCTTGGGTTTCTGGGCAGGCGCCGGGCAACTCGCTCCCCAGCACCCCTGGCGGCAGCGGCCATGGCCCCACTGCGCCGCCGAGCTCGAAGCAGAGGCTGGTGCTCGTGTCCCTCGGCCTGCTGCCCCTCCCCCCCAGCGTCCCCTGTCGGGGCCCGGGGGAGGCGAGCCCCTCCCTCCAGTGTCCCCCGTCGGGGCCCGGGGGGGGCGGCGAGGTGCCATCAGCCGCTCGGGAGCGTCCACGTGACAGAGCGGAGGCGGAGGCTGCCATGGCCAGGCTGGCTGCGCCCTTGCCGGCCCCGCAGTGTCCTGCCGCCGATGCGCCGCAGATGGCCGTGGCCGCGAGGGACTGCGCCCCTTTCGCACGATCGGTGCCAGGCGTTGTGGGTTCAGCTGCTGTGGACCCTCCAGTTGCCGTGGACCGCTACGCCGTGGTCTCAGATGCCGGAATGCTGCTCGTGAAAGGCGGTAAGCTGACGGTGGCGGCGATGTGTCTCCCCACCCCAGACCGTGGTGCTTTCCTGCGTCGATACTGGCAGCGCGTGGCACTGGATCCTGATGTCGCTGCTGTGGCCGCGTCCGAAGGGCGGGATGGTCGCGCCGCGGCGGTGGGCAAGCCCCTCCCCCCCAGCGTCCCTTGTCGGGGCCCGGGGGAGGCGGCGCGGCAGCCTACGGGCCTCACCCCGCTTCCAGCTGCGAGTGCGGAGGTGGGCAAGTCCCTCCCCCCCCAGCGTCCCCTCTCGGGGCCAAGGGGAGGCGGCGCGGCAGCCTACGGGCCCCACCCCGACTCCAGCTGTGAACGCGTCACTGGCCGAGGTGCGCGATGAGCGCGTACTTTGGCATCCCACGGCGCGGCAGAGCGTCGTCGTCCTCGGCATGCGTTGGAAATGGGTTCGCATTTCGCGATCTTGGGCTAACATGTGTAGTATGCAGTCTGATCACATAAACAGTGCTATCCAATATGATAATGCTCGTCATGTGCGTCGCTGGGTACGGCCCTGGCCTCTGCCTTGTATGCGTTTGCCTCTTCCCCGTCTTTTGGCAGATCTGCTAGATGCCGCTTCAGCTGAGCAAATCGCTGGGTCTCCTGAATGGCGGTGTAGATTGAATAGCAGATGTATGCAGGTATGCAGGTTCGCAGATGAGCAGATTGCCCCTGCAGTGGGCTCGCGTGCCCCCATTTCCTTGGAGCTTCGACGGAGGCAGTCTGTGGAGAGGTGGCGAGCCGTTGGATGATCATGCATGCGCCATGTGTCCCAGACGTTTGTTGCCCCTTCCTTCCTTCCTGTCCTCGCTCCCTTTTTCATTATCCCTCATGCTGTGCTCTGCGAGTGCGAGCCCAGATAAGGCCGATGATTGCAGCATACCATTCTCGCGAGGCTGGATTCTCGTACCCTCGGTAGATCGCTCATGTTTCCCTCCACCCGCAGGCGTCCTCTTCCGACTGTTGGCCGGGGGATCGGCCGGGAGGATGCTCGGAAGAGATGAGGCGGGAGGCACGCCGAGCGGCCCTTGCAGTCGCCTCCTGCTAGCAGCCGCCTCTGGAGGTTCGCTGGAGGCCCCTTGTGAGGAGGCCGTGGGGATCGTGCGACGCGAACTCGTGCGACCGCCGCCCCGCCGCCGCCCACGGCGGCCCCATACCGCCCCGGCGCCCGCCGACTCGTCCTGCGCCGAGCTCGCCGAGACCGCCGCCCGGGAGCTCGGCCAGGACTCCCGCGCCGAGCTCGCCGCTGCTGCTCTGGCCGGCGCCCCTTTCCTCGGACTGGCGTGGAAATCATCGTGCGGTGTTCGCCCGCCGTCTCGTCTTGCGTTTCCGGGCGTCAGGGTGCGAAGATTTGCTCCTTCCCCTCTCGGGACGACGAACTGTTGTTGTGCGTTCGTTGTGCAGCGCCGCCTCCTCAGGAGAGCGGACGGGCCGGAGTTGTCAGGCAGCCTTCTCGCGACTCCCCCTCGGAATGCTCTCCTACCGAGCTGGAAGCTTTGGATCTGCGTCCCAGACTCAGTCTCTCCTTTCGGATCATAGTTCCTCCCTCCCTCCTCCTCCCTCGCCTTCTCCTGCCAGTGCGTAGACAGCTGGTGACTTGCTGTGCCGGCATGTGAGTCCTTGTTGAGGATGGTGGAGGTGCATGGGGGTTGGGACGGACCTGGATTTCACACATTCTTTGCGCCCGTACTGCTTGTGCGCGTTGCTGCTTTTGTCTCTAGATGACACAGTGTCCGTCTGCAGTTCGTTGAGTGCTGCGCTTTTCTGTTAAGCCTAGAGTTTCATCAGAGTCGCAGTCCACAAATCCCTCGCCCTCATCCTTTACACCTCCTTCATTCCTGCTCCGTTCCCCTTGCTTCCTCCTCCTTGCCCATTCCACCTTGCTCCCTCCTCCTGTTCTTCCTTCTCCTCCTCCTCCTCCTCCTCCTCTTCCTCCTCCTCCTCCCTGGCGCTCCCTCTTCGCACTCCTCGTGCTACTGATATTCCAAAGGTTTGCGCTACATCCGCCGACCCCTGGACTTACGTGGGTCGTTTGTGGGCCTAGCTTGTGTGGAGTGCTAGGTCACCTGGGGGAAGGAGGGGGACTGCCAAACATCCCGCGCGCCTTCTCACCCCGGCAAGCGGGGATCGGCGGATCGGGAGGGAGGGATGGAGGGAGGAGGGGGAGGAGGATGAGGCGAACGATGACATCGAATAGTAATACCTGCGCGTAGTGCCACAATCGTGCCCCGACTGGCCCAGGGGCTGTCAGACAACTTCACAGGATGAAAAGCGAGTGTCCTGATAGCCACGCCAGTGGGGAGCGCCGTTGCGAACACTTCACAGCGGCGGCTGTCTGTGTCCTACCCGTCGCCCCCTCCGAACTACGCGGCTTGAGCCACGAGCACCGACCACATTGATATCAACGCCCGTGCAGTTTGGATTTTCGGGCGCGAACCCGCGGATAATGGTGGATACGAAGCCGCATGGATCAGAGCGTGAATTACCTACCCCGCTTTCGCTTCTAGGCAAAACCAAGTCATACCACGCGCCTCCTCGTCAAGCGGCCTGACCAGTACAGGCCGTAGTTTGGCATCGCTTAGTATCTCTTGGAAGCGAGGATGGTCAAAAGCGAGGTAGGTTTGTTTGTCCCTTAATGGATATACTAATAGTGCTATTGATACTTCGTTCGCTTTCGTTGCGCATTATTATCCCTCTGCTCCCTCCTTTGTCCTCCTCTTTTTCATTGCCCTTCCTGCCTCTTGCCTCCCCTTCCCTCTGCTGCCGCCGCCTCCTCCTCATCATCCTCCTCATCCTCACCCTTTTTTTTGTATCCGCCTCTTTCTTCTTCTCTTCCTCTTCCCTGCTTGTCGGTTTTCCCTTCCTCCTCCTTCCTTCCTCCCAGTTTGTTTTTCTATCACACTTTTTTGTTCGGTTATCCCCGTCATTCCGCCTTATCCTCCTCCGCCCCCCTCCCTGTCCCTTCTCTGCGGCAGTGCGACAAGATGTGTCCAACAGTCATGCACTCGACAAGCGCACCAGAGGACTGCGGCACAGGCACTGGGACTTGCAGGGAGAGTGAGAGAGAGAGAGAGAGAGAGAACGAGAGATAGAGAAAGAACAAAAGAGAGAGAGGGAGAGAGAGAGAGAGAGGGGAGGGGAGGGGAGACGAGGAAAGGTAGAGTGGGCAACTCGACCTCCTCCGGCAAGATTACGCTGGGGCGAACCAAACGCCGACCTTCATGGGGAGAGCTGACACCTACCCTACCCAAAAAGGAGACCCGAGCAACAAAACCAAACCCACCCGTCTCCTTTACTCCGTAGGCCCAGCCCTCGAACAAGGGCTGCAGGATGTCGTATCCGACGTGTGCGGCGGGGCGGGCGCGGGCGTTGGGGGAGACGGAGGAGGAGGAGAGGGGCCCATACGACATACCATACAATGGGAATTGATGGGGATCGATGCGAAACGCATCGTTCTCCATTGCGCGGCAGCGCGAACATGTGGGTAGTTCTTGACAGCGTCGGCCGGCCCAAGTTGGAGCACCTGGTATTGCAGGGGCAGTGGCCAGTCTTGCTGAGGACGCCTCTGCACACCAGCCCATTGCCGCAACGCTGGGATACGTCAGGCACTGCGGGATTCTCTCCCATTCAGAACGAGCCGTTCTTTACGGGTTTGCCCGGATTGGCAAACAACAGAAAAGATGGCATGGTTGTGCCAGCATCCACCTCCCATCCGTCCACGCTTTTGAAATACGGGACGCCTGGCAAACCCAGTGAGCCTACTTTGCGTGCCGGGCACCGTGCTCAGGCTCTGCTTGTCGAGCAATGTAAAGAGTTTGACATCTACATCTGCCTTGCCTCTTCGCGCAGCAGTGGCTGGATCGCTTCACAGCGGACTCTTGCGGCGACAGCGGCCCTCTTGGTGCGCATGTGAAGTGCAGGCGAGGCCACTCCATGAAAAACTACTTTGTATGCGCCACTTTGCTCGAGGGATGGAGGATTAGAGCATACATTATTGTTCTATTGGAGGCAGCGTTGCATACCTACTTCTGCCTTTATCGAGCGAGTCACATTGGGCAGAGACTTCTTTTACATTTCTAATGAGGCAGCGTCTTCACGCACATTTGCTTCCATGATGCTCCTACTGCGGAGCCTCGTTTCCGAACGACGCACAGAAACAAGTTCAGGCAGCCAGGGTATTGCGCGATGTGATGCATGACCATGCTGACATCCAACCTCCTCGCCATGAACTCACCAGCATGATGAGCCTGCGTGGTACTCATTCCAAACAGGGCCCGTAGGGTCCCCAATGTATCAACCTGCGTCATCATGCGCAGCCAATGGTTTAGGATATACTGCTGAGACATGTTGCCGCATACCGCTGACAGGAACCGTTCAAGAACATGTCTCCCGTTTACAGGGGCGCACGAGTCTTTAAGCCATTCAGCTGATCATGCCAAGTACCCCTCTTCCAATTGAGGTTGCGGGGCTGCACGGCGGGGTGGGCGAACGCCCAGTTGAAAATCAAGGCGTGCGAAGAGTGGCTTGCGCCGCATGCGCAGGAGATCATGATCACGGGCCCTTGGGATATTCGTCCCACGAGTCCCTTCCAGCAAGGGTTGCAACAGCGAGTGTCTGGAGGCCCCTGCAGCCAAGAGTTTCGCTCATTTCTCTTGGCGTTTGGCGCGCCAGCGCCTCTCAGCGAACCGAGCCTGCAGCTTCGAGGCGCGGCCTGATCCCCTGGCAGACTTCCCCACAGAAGCATCCACCTTGAGGTCGGCAGTAGCCTCTCCAACCGTTCCTGCCAAATCGCAATGCATTGGATGACATGGGTCTTGTCCATCCCGTTAATGGGCGACGCAATGCCCCCTTATCACGGGCATTGTGCATTCCAGCACCACAGTGAACTCGGCCAGCAGCGCATGTGAACCAGGGGCGTTTTCTGCCTCCGCCCACCGCCGCCGCCCGGCGTGGCCCTGCGCAGGCCCTGCAGAACGGCTGCGTGTGCTGCTCCGGCCGCGACGACCTATTCTTCCAGCTGCGAGCCCTGGCGGACAGCTCAGGCGTCAATGGTCGTCGTCGTCGTTTCGCCCCATTCGTTCCCTTCGACCCGGCCAAGAGGATGGTGATGGCAGGCAGGGCGAAGTGTGCAGTCGGACATTCAGACACACACTGACCATGCGACGGTCTTCGGCGGAGGAGGACGACAGGAGGGTGAGGGGGAAGAGGAGGGACGAGGATGGACGATGAGGGGAGAGGGGAGAATGGAGCAGAAGTAGGGGCGGGGGGGCGGGGTCGAGGGAGGGTACCAAGAGTTGGGGGAGGATGGAGGTGGATGCATGTACGGATGGACGCTGCTGCTTCTGATTATGCTCACGGTGGCGGTGCTGATGGTGATGATGCTGCTACTGATGGTGATGCTGGTGATGCTGGTGGTGGTGATGATACTGATGATACTGATGATACTGATGATGATGCTGCTGATGATGATGCTTGGGATTATGATGACGACGGTGATGATGATGATGATGATGATGATGATGATGCTGATTATGATGGTGATTCGGCGGCGAGCTGGGGAGGGGGGGAATGAGAAGGGGCAGGCCTTCTCAGAAAGCTCGGAAGTCCCTCGGCCTTGTCAGGAGGTTTCTAAGCCCCCCCCAGAGACATAGACAACTTCTCTGAGAAGTCCCGCCGCCTTCTGAGGAGGCCTTGTCTTTCTCATTTCCCCCCTAGTTCGCCGTCGGATGATGCTGATGATGAGGAGGAGGAGGATGAGGAAGATGAGGAGGATGAGGATGAGAATGATGATGAGGGTGAGGATGAGGATGATGACGAGGATGATGATGATGACGATGATCACGATGATGCTGATAACGATGATGATGATAACGATGATGATGATGATGATGATGATGATGATGATGATGATGATGATGATGATGATGATGATAACGATGATGATGATGACGATTGTGATGATGATGCTGATGATGGTGATGCTACTGATGATGATGATGATGCAGGTGCTGACGCTGCTGCTGCTGCTGCTGATGTTGATGCTGAAGAAAATGATGATTGTGAGGAGGAGGAACCTGGTGATGATGATGGCGCTGCTGAGTATGGCCATGGTTATGAAGATGAGGATGTGCATCATCACGGTGTTGCTGATGATGGTGATTGTGGTGCTGGTGATGATGCTGCTGTTGCTTATGATGCTACTGCTGATGATGGTGGTGGTGGTAATGATTATGCTGCTGATTATGCTGATGCTCATGTTGTTGATGATGATGTTGGTCGTCATGCTGATGATGGTAGTGATACTGCTCATGATGATGGTGGCGCTGATGTTGATGCTGCTACTGATGATAACGCTTGCTGCGATGAGGTTGATGCTGATGATGACGATGCTGATGATGGTGACGATGATGATGATGATGATGATGATGATGATGATGATGACGATTATGATGATGATGATGACGCTGATGATGATGATGATCATGATGATGATGCTGATGATGATGACGTTAACCTCATACCCGTGAGAATAAACACTAGGGGATAATAAAGGTCGGGGTTCAGGGAGAGATATTCAAAGTAGCCCAACAGACCTCAGCATAATCTCGAAGTAAGAGATGATCAAGAGGAGACCAAGCCGAGCACGTTTTGAGACATTCTTGGCGTTTAGTCTTCATAGAAATATCCTCAACAATGGCTTATCTCGCTGGAGACATCCTCGACAAATCTCTTGTTTCGCTTGAGACATCCACAAACTATTGCTTATTTCGCTTGAGACACCGTCAAACTATTGCTTATGTCGCTTAAGAAAGGCGGAGAAATGGAGAAAGCGATATACAAAAACAAAAATAAAAAGAAACAATAAGAAATGAAACAGAAAAAGGAAAACATCAAACAGAAAAGAAAATAGAGGAGGAGGAGAAAGAGAAGGAACAATCTCAAGTTCAAATGTATTAGATTTTTATTTACAAACGCTTTATGAAAATTGAAATTTTTAAGTGCTCGTGTAGGGTAGCTCATGTGCTTCATTTTCCATGGATAATCAACCCCAGGGATAAAACAGTTCAGAGGGGGGGGGGCTGGAGAGAGAGAGAGAGAGAGAGAGAACGAGAGAGAGAGAGAGAAAGAGAGATACATCATACAGAAAAAGAAAGGAAGGACTTAAAGAGAGAAGGTATATTTAAAAAGCAAAGTATAATAATAAATGAAAAGGATAACGAGAAGAGGAAAGGAGGATAAGACAAAACATCTGAATATTCAAATGTATTAAATCTTATGTACATGCGCTTTATGAAGATTATTTTTTGAAGTGCTCGTGTAGGGTAGCTCACGTGCCTCGTTTTCCCTGGAGGATCAACCCCAGCGATAAACAAGTTCAGGGCGCCAGGGGGAGGAGGAGGAGAAAGAGATAGAGAGACAGAGAGAGAGAGACAGAGAGGCCAGGAAGGAGAAAGAGATAGAGAGACAGAGAGAGAGAGAGACAGAGAAAGAAAGAAAGAGAGACAGAAAGAACTACAAAGAGACATAAAGACATTGGTTTCGCTTGAGACATCCTGAAACAACGTGTTCGCTTCGCTTGATGTTGTTATCTCAACATAAGAAGGAAGTAACTTCGATGGCGAATTTTTCCCGTGATAATGAAGTTCGGCCTCCGCGCCCCCGCGCCCCCGACCAAACTCTTATTGGTCGACGATAATCAACTCTAAACACTGAAGGGGGGGTCCCTTTATTATCATCGGCATGCGGTTAGGGATGGCCGGAATGATTGATCATCATGATGATGGTGAGGATGGTGATGCTGACGCTGAAGGTGGCGAGATAAGGCTGATGATTCTGTCACAAGACTTACGCCATTCCGTCGACCGCCAGACGAATCGAGGATTTGTGGGCGTCTCGGTTGGCTTCTTGAAGCCTCGTCAGAGTTTCCTGGGTGCTCGCTGGCTGTTTCTTGGACGCCGTCGCGCGCATGGGATGCCTTCAAGAGTCCGGGTGCGCGGGAAGAGTGGCCGCCGCGCATTCGCTACTCCGCGCTTGGGACTCATTGCTCCTGCGCTTCTCTGGAACGAACACTGGAACATGTTGCCCGTTGCGCATGCAGCGAGATGTTGCTGGAGTGCTGTCGATAGAACCTTCTCATTTGGGGATTCGGAGAATGAGGGAGAATGAAGTCAATTACTAGATACATGACGACGACGCTGAGAGGAATGAGGAAACGGAGGAGGTTATCCAGGACAACGGGGCGGGCAGTAATGCTGCGCGGGGTCTCTTTGAGGCTCGCTTCGTGCAGCTGACTGGTGTCTCTTTGGGGATTCTGGGATGTTTTTTTGGGGGCCCCATAGGGAGCTCCACCGAAGGCCCCAGTGGCTGCGCTCGTATGCGTTCGTCGCGTCCATTTCAGCACACCCCTCACACGTTTCGTGGCTCCATGGGGAGTTTCACCGAAGGCCCCAGTGGCTGCGTTCGCATGCGCCCGCTGCACCCATGTCGGCACACCCGCCACACGTTTCGTGGCCCCATAGGGAGCTCCACCGAAGGCCCCAGTGGTTGCGTTCGCACGCTCCTGCCGCAGCCATTACGGCACTCCCTTCACACGTTTCGCGGCCCCATAGGGAGCTCCACCGAAGGCCCTCGTGGCTGCGCTCGCACGCGCCCGCCGCACCCATGTCGGCACACCCACACGCTTCGTGGCCCCATAGCGTGCTCCACCGAAGGCCCTCGTGGCTGCCATCGCATGCGCCCGCCGCGCCCATTTCGGCACACCCCTCACTTATTGCGTGGCCCCAGAGGGAGCTCCACCGAAGGCCCTCGTGGCTGCGCTCGCACGCGCCCGCCGCACCCATGTCAGCACACACGTCACACGTGTCGTGGTCCCATATGGAGCTCCACCGATGACAATACTCACAATTGCCGTACTCACAACTGCATATGGTTGGGTCTTTCGCTAGCCTAGTTTCGGCGTCTTCGACCGTCTTGAGACTATCTCGGGTGTTTTTGAGGCTTCTCAGGCGTATTGGGGCTCTTCTGGAGCCATCTTAGCAAGCATCTTGGGATCTTGGCCGCCGCGAAGGGTGGACGTGCAGGCTCCGGAGGCCTCAGGGGTGAGTTGGGGAGCTCCCTCGAACGCGATTTTGACCCTGGGGGAGGGGGAACAGGGGAAGGTGGACAGCCACATGTCTCGCACGCCATTTCACCCCTGGCAAGCGGGGGTCGGCGAGCTTTTATTTTTACTTGACGGTGATGACGATTGATGAGGACGCGTGCGCGGTGCGGCGAACAATGGTAATGACGATGATGACGACTGTTGCGACGGTGAGGGCGATGATGATGCTTATGGTGGTGATCATGATGAAGCAGAGAAATGTTGCGATGCTGATGATGGTGATGATGCATCTGATGATGATGCTGATGCTGATACTGATGATGACGACGATGGCGACGATGTTGTTATTGTGGATGATGGTGATGCTGATTGCTGTTGCTGTTGATGGATATGAGGATGCTGATGATGCTGCTGACGATGATGATGATCATGATGATGATGATGTTAATGCTGCTGATGATGCTGATGATGGTAGTGATGTTGATGCTTATGCTGATACTGCTGCTGCTGATGATGATGATGTCGATGATGATGGTGATGATGGTGATGATACTTTTGTTGGTGATGCTGAGAGGAGGGAGGAGGATGGTGGTGATGCTGATGATGATGATGATGATGCTGGCGATGATGGTGATCCTCCCTTGGCTGCTGCGATCCGCCGACTGCAGGTCGCGCAGCGCGCCTAACTATGGCAGCGGCTGAGCGGCAGGCCGTTTCCCCTCTCTCTCTGGACATTGTCCGATCGGCAGCGACCATCACGATCCCTTCACATCGCCATTTACCTCGTCCTTCCCCACCACCATCCTCGCACTCGCACGCCATCCTCCCCATCCTCATTCATCCGTTCACTCGCGTACCTTCTGTTCGATTCTAGCCACGACCTCCTTTCCGCCGCCTCTCACCGACCTTGGTCCTTGGCGCTCGACGTCGCAGGCATCTCCAAGCTGGACAAGGGCTGGGATCGGCTCGTCGTGGAGTGCTCTGGTGGGCCACGGATGCGGAGAGGATGGGGATGAGGATGAAGGTGAGGATGAGGATGTTGATGTTGCTGATGATGTCGACGACGATGATGACGATGATGATCAGCTTGGCGATGATGATGATGATGATGATGATGATGATGATGATGATGATGATGATGATGATGATGATGATGATGATGATGATGATGATGATGGTGGTGGTGATGATGATGATGATCACGCTGCTGATGATGATGATGCTGATCGTGATGATGGTGATGATGATGATGATGATGATCATGGTGATAATGATGAAGGGGATGAATATGTTAGCTATGATGATGGGCATGGTTATGACGATGACGATAACGATGACGAGGATGAGGATGCTGATGATGAGTATGATGCTGATGCTGATGAGGATTATGATGGTGAGGAGGCGGTGGATGAGGTTGAAGATGAGGATGGGGATGATAATGATGATAATGATGATGATGATCCTGATGATGGTGATGATGCTGCTGCTGATGATGGTGACGCTTATGGTGCTCCTGCTGATGACGATGCTGATGCTGATGGCGACGAGGATGAGGATACTGCTGCTGATGAGTATCATTCTTATCATGATTAATATGCTGATCCCGCTGATGGTGATGATGAGGATGATTCGGATTATGATGATGATGGTGATGCTGCTGATGATGATGCCGATGCTGATGATTAGGACCTAGGATGCTGACGATGATGATGAATTCGATGATGATTGGATCATCCAGATGATGGCGTTGCAAATGATGATGTCAACGATGATGATGATGATGATGATGATGCTGATGGTGATGACGCTGATGACGCTGATGATGATGATGATGATGATGATGATGATGATGATGATGGTGATGATGATGATAGTGCTGGTGACTGATGATGAGCCGATGACAGCCGCTTACGGGGGGGCGGGGGGGGGAGGGGGCAGCTCACGTCACATTTTGTGATGATAAGCCGATGACGACTGTCATCTGGGGGGAGGGGCGGGGGGGAGGGGGCGCGATGACGTCGCGCTTCGCGGCGGCGGCGTCTGGGAATGCCTAGGAATGACAGAGGAAGGGTAGCAGCAGCATGTAGGTGGCGATCTGCACCAAAGCGCCTGTGTACACCACAGTGCCTGCGTGCACCACAGCGCCTGTGTACACCACACCGCCGATGTACACCAGAGCAGCCGCGCGCAACACATCGCCAGTGTGTGCCATGGTGTCTGCATGCACCACAGCGCTTGTGTACACCACAGCGCCTGCGTACACCACATTCGCCGTGTGCAACACAACACCAGTGTACACCACAGTGCCCGCGTGCACCACAGTTCCTATGTACATCACGGCGTCTGTGTCCGAAGAACAACCAACAACATACATAAACATACTTTTGGCGCTCCGTGCGCGTTTCTTGAGTCTGCGCTGGTGCCCCCTGGAGGCGCCTCTGGCGCCGCCCCTGGCGCGCTCGAGGGGCGTCCAGCGCAAGTCCTAGAAATCCGCTCTGAGCGCCAACATTTTTTTGTTGTGTGCAGTTTGTTCCTTCTATCTGTGCGCCATTGCGACCGTTTTCAGCAAAACACCTTTGCTCTGTATAGATTTTTGGGATCGAAACCTTATGACAAAATGGAACGCCAGTGAATGCCACAGAAACATTTGTTTTCGGGCATAGCTCGATTTGTTTCCCGCGAGGTAACTTGACTGAACTGAACTGGATTGAACTGAACTGAGCTGGGCTGAGCTGAACCGAAGTGAACAGACTGCTCGCATCCGTGACGCGACAGTTGTATTCTCGGCCGGTGAGGGCGCAATTCTATGGCGCACCCGTTACGCGACGGTTCGATTCTCGCCCGCCGAGGGCGTTACCTATGGCGCAAAGGATATGAGCTGGTTTTATTCTCGGCCGCCGAGGCCGCAGCCTATGGCGCAACCGATAGGAGACGGTTTTATCATCGGCCGTTGAGGCCGCAACCTATGGCACAACCGATCGGAGACGGCCCAACTATGGGGTCATGCAACGCACCGCGCAGGCAAAGCATCCACGACATCTTGTATCTTCCTTCAGCGTACAAATGCACCATTCCAGGCTTCAGCGCTGAATTGTACTTGCCCTCGGTGTCATTGGTGGCTAATCTGAACGAATCTCGGCGGCCACGGCCGATCTCTCAACTATCTGTGCGAATTAGACCCAGGATAAGATTCACGCGCTCCGCGTTGTTGTCGCGTCCACGTCACGTCGACCGACCTCGAGCGCGTCCTTTTCAGTTCGCAGTCCTGCAGCGTCAGGAGAGAAACTTCTTGTCTCGCATCGCCACCCACTCCCATGCAGCCCATGCAGCATCCAGTCAGCGAGGCGCCTTGCGCTTTGTTGCGTGTCGACAGGCTCGGGGGGGTCCCGCTTCGAACGCTATCCGCGTTTACTTCGCCACGGACGTCCCCGCGCTTCCAGCCAATTGAAAATATCGCGGCGGTGATCCGGCAACAATTGCGATTTCGTTCTTGGCGAGCTCAATCTCTTAACGCTACGTCCGCGGCGCTGCGCATGCACGCGCGAGAGAGTAGGAACGCCCAGTCGTTTTCGAGCGACGCGCGGGTTCGCCCCCGCAAAGTACGCCAACATGGCAATCTCGCACGCCGGGCAAAGCCTAAAAGGGCTTTCGTCTGCCGTATCTCCCTCCGCCCTCTTCTCTTTCCTTCTCTCATCGACGTAGCGGCCCCCGTCCCCCTTATGACGTTCTCCGCTGGCCTGGGTGGTCACTCAGTCCGCGGGGGGGGATAGGTGGGGTTTGGGGCCTTCTTGTCCCAAACAGCTTGTACTTCGTCGCCACTGATGGGAAAGGGGGTGCACCGTTTTTTCGGATGGGCGCACACACGCGCCCAGGAGCTCTCGACCCTATCCCGCGCCCTTCTTCGTTTTTTTCCTTCCCCCCCCCGCCTTCGCATCCCATTTCGTTCGGCATGTCCGCCATCGGCCGCTCTGCTATCGATCTCAGGTTCGACGCACATCGGCGCAGTGGGCTTTGGCGAGTTTCGCATGAATCGTCCTTTCTACGATGCCGAGGGCGCAATTCATGGCGCGGTCCTAGACGAGGACGACGAGGAGGAGCTGGAGCAGGATGAAGCCGAAGAAGATTAGGAGGATGAGAAGGAGGGCGAGGAGGAAGACGACGACGATGATCAGGATGGGGAGGAGGACGGGGACGAATACGAAAACTACGAGGACGACGTGTGGGCATTCGAATGCGTTCGTGGTTTCGCCCGATCTATGCTCGCCGTTTGGGCTGGCGGCGGAGTCGAGGCGGCGAACCGTTTTCTGATTTTTCCCAACCCTCCTTGTGTTGGGTGCTCGTTTTGAATAGAGCACTGTGGTATCCACCTCCCGCCCTCTCCTCCTTTTTCTCTCCTGTGTTCGCGGTGCCCTGCGGGGCTGCGATCTGTGCAACTGTCGCCACTTTCGTGGGTTCCTGGGAGGCCCAGCGGAGGTACGTCCTACGCATACCATTTTGAGGCCTCCCTGTCCCCTTGCGGGGCTGCGATCTGCTCAACTGTCGCCATTTTCGTTGGTTCTTGGGAGGCCCAACGGAGGTACGTCCGATGAGGTGTTCATAAGGAGAGGGTTTGGTGAAACCAGCGGGCCCGTGAAGGAAACGCGTTTCTTCCTTCACAGTGTCGCGCCGCGGCCTCTGTGAAGGAGTCCGCGGGGACTCCCTTCACAGTAGCATGTTGTCATCCTTAGGTTATGCGTATTTCTTCGGCGTTGGTTGCGAGAGCTTGTATCGCGCTCATGCGATTGAGCTTCTTCAAGTTCCTATTGATTCTGATGCCTTTCGTTGTGCGGAACGGATGTCGGCTCCGTTTCAACACGAGTCTGCCGTAATTTCGAAGGGGTTTGGACAGGAATAAAGGAATGGAGAGGGCGGTGCCTCCACCTCCTCTTCCTCCTCCTCCTCCTTCTCCTCCTACCTCCCTCCCTCCCTCCCTCCCTCCCTCCCTCCCTCCCTCCCTCCCTCCCTCCCTCCCTCCCTCCCTTCCCACCCACCGAGTGGGGGAGGGGGGCAAGAGGGGGGATGAGGAGGGATGCTGAGGAGGGATGGGGCGAGGAGGAGGAGGAGGAGGAGGAGGAGGAGGAGGAGGAGGAGGAGGAGGAGGGGGAGGAGGAGGAGGAGGAGGAGACGGAGAGGGAGGAGGAGGAGGAGGAGGGAGGCGGCGGACAAAGCACAGGGGGGGGGGGGCGCGGCCACGACGGCGACGGCAGCAACGCAAAGCCATTTTGGCTTTTTGTCGGCAGGGATGGAAGCCCTGCTGGCCAGGGCCCTGGCGCTCGTGGCGCACCCGTCGCGCTCGCCGCGCGATGGGTGCCACATGCTGCTGCCAGGGACCGCGGCCCTCAGGGCCGCTGTCAGCACCCTCGGGGGCACGGTCCCAGGCCCGCGCGACGAGGGGGGCGACGGGGGGCGTCAGACAACGCAGCCTGAAGGAGTGCAGGGGTGAAGGTGAGCGGTTTATGAGGAATACGATGACGAATAAGAGAATGGAAGGATTAGAGGGGGTACGAGTAATGAGGAGCAGGGGGTGGGGGAGTAATAATCAGATGGGGGTGGGGGCATGATGCGGATGCGATGGCAAGGGTAATGGGAGGAATGAGCATGACTGGGGTGAGAGAGAGAGGAAACGCAGAAAATGCGACACAAGAGCGGCGCTTGCCCAAGAATCGCGGCGATTCTTGGGCACATTATGAAGTTGCCTGTGCGTTCTTCTAAGGGGTCGCCCCTCCTCCTCCTCCTCCTCCTCCTCCTCCTTCTCCTCCTCCTCCTTCTCCTCCTCCTCCTCCTCCCCCTCTTCCTCCTCCTCCTGCTCCTATCCCCCTTCCTCCCCCGTGTCCCCCCCTTTCCTTTCCCGCAGTCCTCATCCTTCTCGTCTCCCTCCTCCACGACGACGTCGCAATCTTCCGTTGCCTTCCTCATCGTCCTCATCGTACCCCTCACTGTAGCTG